TATAAAACGCGTTTTCCGTCTTGTTTTGGACTACGCAAGCTCCTTGTTGTACTTACAATCCAAATAATGTGATTAGTTAAAGCCTTTGCTTATGAAGGAAAGCTCTGAAATGAAATCTCTTTTTGGAAAAAGTTTTGAAACCGCAGCAACAGTTTTAAATGAACACACAAGTAAAATAACGCCCTGTGCAAGGTTCAAGGTTCTTTTTATTGTCAATCTGACATAGCTACAGAGTAATTATGCAGTTGAAAATCTTATGTCACAGGCTTCTCCAACAATGCAACATAATAACATAACATAATAACAATAAGAGCATGAGCAATACAAAAATAATAATAGTTATAAAAATGAAATAAAGTTATGATGTGGAATAGTGCAGTATGAGTCTATATACAAGTTATTGGAATGATATATATATATTAGGTATTGGATACATACTACTGAGTAGCAGATGAATGTTTGATGTTGTTTCAACAGTTCAATTTTTTAACAGTCTCACTGCCCGCGGGAAGAAACTGTCTCCGAATCTTCTTGTCCTTGCCAGGATGCTGCGGTAACGTCTGCCAGACGGCAACAGAAAGAACAGTTTGTGGCTGGGGTGATGGGGGTCTTTGATAATCCGTAGTGATTTCTTCCTGAGCCGCTGGGAGTAAAGGTCCTCCATGGATGGCAGCTCCGTCCTGGTGATGTGCTGTGCAGTTTTCACCACCCTCTGTAAAGCCTTACGATCGAGGTCGGTGCAGCTGCCGTACCAGGCCGTCATGCTGCCAGTGAGGATACTCTCTATCGTGCACCTGTAGAAGTTGCAGAGTATCCTGGAATCCATTTTGAACCTCCTCAACCTGCGGAGGAAGAAGAGCCGCTGTCGAGCTTTCTTGGTGATGGTGGTGGTGTGAAGAGACCATGTCAGGTCCTCAGTGATGTGGACCCCAAGGAACCTGAAGCTTTTGACTCTCTCCACCGTAGTCCCATTGATGGCGATGGGGGCGTGTCCCTCTCCCTGCTGCTTCCTGTAGTCCACAATCAGCTCCTTTGTTTTGCTGATGTTGAGATGGAGGTTGTTCTCCTGGCACCAAGATGTCAGGTTTTCGACCTCCTCTCTGTACGCCGTCTCGTCATCGTCTGTGATCTGGCCGATGACGGTCGTGTCATCAGCAAACTTCACGATGGTGTTGGAGCTGTGTGTGGCCACGCAGTCGTGGGTGAACAGGGAGTAGAAGAGAGGGCTGAGCACGCAGCCTTGAGGGGCACCGGTGTTGAGAATCAGGGTGGATGATGTGATATTTCCCACCCTGGGGTCTGCCCGTCAGGAAGTTCAGGATCCAGTCACAGAGGGCGCTGTTGAGCCCGAGGTCTCTGAGCTTGATGGCCAGCTTGGAGGGCACAATGGTGTTGAATGCTGAACTGTAGTCAATGAACAGCATTCTCACATATGTGTTCCTGTTCTTCGGGTCCAGGTGTGAGAGGGCAGTGTGGAGGGTGAGGGCTATGGCGTCGTCTGTGGACCTGTTTGCTCTGTAGGCAAACTGCAGGGGGTCCAGAGATTCAGGGAGGGAGGAGGTGATGAATAATTTGACTAACCGCTCAAAGCACTTCATTATGATGGAGGTGAGTGCTACTGGGCGGTAGTCGTTGGGGCAGGTGATGATTGTCTTTTTGGGGACAGGAATGATGGAGTGTTTAAAACATGTGGGGACTACAGACTGCAGCAGGGACCTGCCCATTTCTATAGCACAACCTCAACACACTTAAAACCACATACTTGTTTTAAAAATCATTGTTCTAAGCCCAAATTAAAAGAACCTTCCAGTCAAATCTGCAGTAAATTAACTAGACTTCTCCGTCTCTTCAGGCCACCCTGAACGCTCGCACCTCCATCCTGGCTGCAGCCAACCCTGTGGGCGGGCGCTACGACCGCAGCAAGAGTCTGAAGCAGAACGTCAACATGACCGCCCCCATCATGAGCCGCTTCGACCTCTTCTTCATCCTGGTGGACGACTGTAACGAGGTAAGCAGCATAGTCTGTATATTTGTTTTAGTTTTACAATTTTAAGTGCGTTTTAATATTTTCTTACTTTCTTAAATCCTCTCTGCTCTAAATATCCAATTCTCTTAACGTTCTATCTGATCATGTGTGTATCCAAGGTGACGGACTACGCCATCGCCAGACGCATCGTGGACCTGCACTCGCGCATTGCAGAATCTGTGGACAGACTGTACTCTCTGGATGAGATCCGCAGATATCTGCTCTTTGCAAGGCAGTTCAAACCCAAGGTGCGCGTCTGCCTGCTGCGATTAAGCGTGTTAGCATCAGGTTAGCAATGTATACGCTTCTGATCGGTATTAACTGTTCCGTGTTCCACATCTGTAGATTTCCAGCGAATCCGAAGAGTTCATCGTGGAGCAGTACAAGCGTCTCAGACAGCGCGACAGCTCCGGAGGCGTGACCAAGTCGGCCTGGAGGATAACAGTGCGGCAGCTGGAGAGCATGATCCGCCTGTCGGAGGGCATGGCCCGCATGCACTGCTGCGACGAGGTGGGTGCCAAGAATGATTTGCTACTCAGCAAACACAAAGGGTGCACAGATGTTATCGAAAAAATTAAAGTTGTACACACTTGGATTCAGGACAAAATGTAACTCTTAAAGTGATAGTGTTGCATTTTAGGAGCCCTATTATGCTTTTTGGGGTTTTCCTTTTCCTATAGTGTGTTGAATACGTTTTAGTGCATGTAAATGGTCTGCAAAGGCTAAAATCCCAAATTTCACTACAGAGGGAGTTTCTGCAAGATTTCTGCTCATGTTTTAAACTTTCTGCACATTTAGACATATCCGTTTTCTGAGATGATGGGAATAAGCCAAACATATTTGGAGAAAGTCGTACTATTTAGAAAACAGTTGTAATTTAGTGGGAATAGAAGCCAACATTTTTGGAAGGCTCAAATCTCACCCTTTGTGAAGGTTTTTGCTCACATGTTAACTTTTCCACCTTCGATTGAATGCAGACTACTAAAGCTTTTCAATGGGAACCACATCCTGGACTATTAAACTACTTTTAATAGTTTTTCTTTGTACCAGGATTTTGACCTTTTCCTTTCTGTTAATGTCTTCAGGTGCAGCCCAAACACGTGAAGGAAGCCTTCCGTCTGCTGAACAAATCCATCATCAGAGTGGAGACGCCCGACATCAACCTGGGGCAGGATGACGACCTGGAGGAAGAGGAGCAACAGGAGGATGGTACTGACACACAAACGTGTACATGCACCTGCAAGGGCGCAACATAACTAAACTAGAGCTGAAGTTTGTTCCTGAACTGAAAAGACATCCAGGTTTCTAACACAAATGTTATCTCTGCAGGAAACGCCATCCCTAATGGAGTGAATGCTGTAAACGGTGTAAACGGCCACACAAATGGTGTCAGTGGGCCCACAAATGGAACTAACGGCAACACAAACGGTGTGGAGGGACACGCTGAGCCAGGCAGCCAGGCCAAACCAGCTCTCCGCCTGTCTTTCCCCGAGTACAGGCGCATTTCCAACCTGCTGGTCTTGCATTTGCGCCGGGCAGAAGAAGGTGAGACGCCTCTCTTCATACTTTTTGCAAAAATAAATTCTTAGTTATTTTTTTTTTTGGTCTAACCTTTTCCCTGTTGTCTGTGTTTCAGCTGAGGAAGAGGAGGAGTTGAAGAAAAGTGCAGTGGTGAACTGGTATCTGAAGGAGATCGAGTCGGAGATTGACTCCGAAGAGGAGCTGGTCAATAAGAAGGGTCTGATAGAGAAGGTCCTCCACAGACTGGTGCACTATGTGAGTCCACACGCTGCGAACATACAGCCATGAATGGAGGTCGTTTTGTGTTTGACTTCACGTAACCCTGTGCCTCTCTGCTTCCCTGCTTCCCCAGGATCACATCCTCATCGAGCTGTCTCCGTCCGGGCTGAAGGGCTCAGAATCTGCTGGCACAGAAGAAGTCGTGTTTGTCGTCAACCCCAACTACACCCTGGAAGATTAAACTTCACCCCTGTGTTTATGTTTTCTTCACTCCCCTTACAACTTCCATCCTTGTTGATATTTTACTTCAACAATAAAGTTGATGTTCAAGGTGTTGTTCAATGCTCATATGTAACGCATACATACCAGAAGCATCAGAGATGTTATACGACTTGTTTTGTACTGTACAGAAGATTCTGGGTCTCTTAAAAATAAGACATTCATAGTCAAACTGCTTTGTAAATATGCTGCTCTGTTCTCCAGTTGTTTGATGGTTTCTCTCTGTTTTGACCCTACGTTAAGGAAACTGCCCTAGAATTGTCCCATCGCTTATTCCACAACTGTATATTTGACATTGAGGCTCTATGGTTTCAATGTGATTTTGTAAAATGATGAAATAAATTGAATAAAAAAAGTTGCTTAAAGAAATAAAATATTGACAAACTAAAAGCTATTTGATGCTGTATCTGCCGTATTTAATTATAGCATTACACCAGTAGGTCTACTCGGTTGAAAATGACTTTAAAATATAAAAAAATTCTGTATTCTATTTTATGACAAGTTTTCGGGTCATAGTTTTTCTGATATTTCATCTTTTCAGTGCTAAGCCTTTTTTTCCCCAAAGATTACCGTCCTATAATATGAAAATGTTTTTTTATTTTCGAAATGCACTTTAAGTCGTTTTTGTGCATGTTTTTGACATGGGCCTACTATAAAAAAAAAAAAATCTGAACTTCTACGTAGCCTATGTTTTATTTCACAGAAATGTGACTATGACTGTTTTTCATACTATAGACCTATTACATTTTTCAATAGTGACTTATCACATTTGTATTTATAATAATATCATACTAACTTTTTTTTCCACGATATTTTCGACATACTTTATTGACTTTTTTCAAAATGTTCTATGGCTTTAAAAAACATTCTCATTGCTTTCACCTTTTTCATATATTTCGACATGCTATAGCTACCTATTTCTGTATTTTTTGGACATAGACTCTTTATACACTACTGCGCCATTGTGTTAACTGCGCATGTCAGACATTACTCAACAAACATGGCGGCGCCCTACGTGACAGCAGTCAGGACATTACTGAAAGGTAAAACACAGACATTACACATTTATTTGAACGTATATTATCCAACCTATCTTCTACAGAGGCTGTGCTACAGTTACTTGTCTAAATAATGTAACGTAGCGTTATTTTTTCCCTGTTAGGAGTTTGCTATGTTCCCGAAAGATGGCTCCTTACGCAGAGGAGCCGAGCCCCTGCAGTATGTCGGTGTTCGCAGCTACATGTCTCCCCTGCTGCCTCCCTGTGCAGCTCCAAGACCGGGGCTCACAGCAAAGCCGACCCACGCACAGACGACAGGAAAGCTGGGGAGCAAGAGGAGGAGGAGGGTCCTGAATACATGCCCAGGAGAAAGGCAAAGAATCCCATGATGCCTATTGGCTATGCCTGGTAAGTCTCTTCATTCCTCTACAATCCTTTATATTGGTAAAACACTTCAGACAACACCATTTATTTGACTGCTTCTGTTTTATTTCCACCCAGGCAGACTAGGTGTCCGATCTACTCAAATATATATATATTTTATTCAAACTGTTGTCTGCATTGTGTTGTGCTGAAAATAGCAAGGTCTGTCAATGTTGTTGAACCAGAAACTATGTAGAAATACAGTTATACAAGGGGAGGGACACTATACCCAGATTTGACTTGTATGTGCTTTTATAGTCATTAAAGTAAAACAATTGTTTTTAATTCAGAAGTACTGCAGAAACAACAATCATATCTTCTCCAGGGTAATATAATCTGCATTTTGATCTCTACACACACTCAAATAAACAGGGTGGACAAAATATAAGGGTTGCTCAGTTTAACAAAAATACTGAAACATTGCAATTATATCTTATTGTGACGTAGGTGTCTTCATAACATAATACCATACAATGAAACCTTTTGCATTTTCAAACAATTTGCTCCCCCTTAGTACTACAACATGTGGAGTGTTTCTCCATACTCTGCATCAATATGGATACTGCAAGTTTTGAGCACTGGAAAAAAATCAATATATTCAATTTCTTCCCTCCAGGATGATAGGCCTCCCTGCAGGTATCATCGGCTTCCTGCTGACCAAGAGAGAAGTTGACAAGAACCGACTGAAGCAGCTGAAGGTCCGACAGAGGATGAGGATGTCAAACGAAGGAGAATATGAGGGGAGTCGCTACCGCCAGCATAAAGAGGATCTCAAACTGGAGCGATGATGTATATGTATGGCTGCAATGTTATGCACATATCCTAAATGTCACCACTGAGACGTTGACTTCACTGCACTGCAGCAAAAAGACTGATTACAGAAGAAAACTTCATGAGTTTAAAAACCTCTCAGAGTATTTCTTTCTGAAGCAAAAACATGACATTGTGCTTGTGACAGCCATTTTGTTTGCTTCTTTTTGGGCAGACTTGATTTTTCCTGCTTATGTACAGAGATGCTTATAGATTACTTTGTTGAATCTGGAGAAAGATCATTTATTTGATTGATGCTGATGTTCGTTAAATATGATAAAGCAAATAAATGTATATTTATACAGAATTTGTGAAACCTGGAAAAATGCACATGAACACCGTAATCAAATACACATATTTATTTGATATGAAAAAGGCAAACATCATTGACATGTATATTTACAAACCCGTACCTCACACTGACACTCTGTGCTTCACATTCAACATGTCCATCGTAGCTGTTTTGAGGCAAGGGTTATATGTAACATGGGTCTATAACATAGCGTCTATACTTGTGGAGAAGACTAGCTGGCTGTGATTGGTCATTTAGGAGCATTTGAACAATGATCCATTAATTTAACAACATGGCATTGACTGTGTTATCCTGTAAGAAAAAAAAGCCCTGCTAGCACCTATGCATCTGACCGAGGTCTGACCATGACACCAGAATATATATATAAAAAAGATACTTATGTAACAATACTCATAAGTCTGTGGTAAAAAAAATGAATCTCTAATACATCTTCATTGTGAAGGCACTGTAGTGATGTAGAACCATATATATGTATGTTAAAAACGTGTGTAGTTACAATCAGATGCACCGAGCTATTTGGTGGGCAGATTGGTCACCAAAGTATCAATACTGCTGACGCTAAGAGTAGTTTTGAGTATCCAGACTCGCTAGAATCTATACCAAATGTAACATGTAACATGTGTAATGCACATACACACTAAAAGCAGATTTATTTTTCATCTGCTGTTGTGTGCATATCTGTTGAGCTCACCTTTCAAACTATTTACCATGAAATCCTACTTGGCCTTTGGACTGATGTATACAATTAAAGCCAAGTCAAAAATTGAGAAATATGCTTATAAAATTGCTGAGAGAAAGATGAGCCGATAGATACCAATCATGCCTGTCCTATGAACACAAAGCTACAGCTAGCTGGGAGGTAGTTAGCTTAGCTTAGCATAAAAACAAAAATGGGAGGGAAATGTTTAGCCAGAATTTGTCCGAAAGTTATCCACTTATCAGCACATCTCAAGCAAGTTCTACCTCTGCTCAAAAACTAAATATTTAAAATGAAAAGTTCAGGAAGTTGCTAATAGAGGGCAATAATAATTCTGGCATATCAGGAAAAATATGCACAACCTTAAGTATGTACACGTGATATTACATTTAAAATTTGTGAGCATTTTTTAACCCTCAGACAGAGCCAGACTAGCCATTTCTCCATTTCGAATCATTCATGCTAAGCTAAGCTAATTACTTGCTTGCTGCAGTTTACCCCATAGAACTATTACATCAACGATTCGGCGCAAATATTAAAGAAGAAATGCCTGATGTTGGACAAATATTTCATTGGTTAAAATGTAGTTAAAAGTAGGCTATTATAGATTCATTCAATAAATTAACCATGATAAGTTTTTACTCAACAATTAGGTATATAACCTGCTTTAAATACAAACAATCACTATCCTGGTCATTTAATTTGTTTGGTTATCTGCAACCAAATTTTGAGGCATTGCCTACCCCCACCTACTTTACTTCAACGCCACAAGAGACGGGTCTCTGTTTTGGCAAAATTGAGATGGAATAAAAAAAAAACAATCTATGCCCATTTTCTCTTTTTTTTTTTGTACAGATAGGCACCAGTCCATGTGTAGCAGAACATCATGAGAAGACACATTTGGAGACACGGTCTGCGTTAAAACATGAGTCCGGTAAGAGTGAATAAATGTTGCAGCTGGCAGTCCAGTGTCCATAGGTATCTACTGCATTTACATTGTATTATTAATACTCTTTTAAAGCCACTGATAATTTGCTTAATGCAGATAAAGATAAATATTCATTTCGGAAAAAGTGCATTTTTTTGTGCATAGGATTCACCTATGACAAAACCTTAAATTCAGCCCTTGACATTTGTATTATACGTCATGATTTTAATAAATGTATTCTGATTCTGACTGACAGCAAAAGCTTTAAAAAAAAAAAGGTGAGTTTGTTGTCATTTGTTTTCCCTTGGGTGCACTTATTTGGTAGAAGCACCAATAATCTGCAGCAGGAAAAGGAAGATCTGGACGATGTCGACGTAAATGGAGAGTGCGGCGAACACATACTCCTCTGGGCTGATGGAGTGCTTCCTGTTGCCTATCAGCAGCTGGGTGTGGTAAGCTAGGAACTACAAGACAAGCAGGAAACATTTAGACTAACACTGGAACAAGTGACACACAAAGTATCATCACAGGGTTAACAGTAAAGAAATAACATTAAATTGCATAATACGCACCAGAGTGAAAGCGATGGCTCCTATACCTGCATAGAGCATGTGAAGCCACGGGATCTGAAACAGCAAACAGTCGTTACAATGAAGGAAACTGGAAAAGCTTTCATGACGAAATTGTGTTTTTAGCCTTAACTCACATATTTGAATGACAGCACAATGGTTGTTATGATGCCAGTCACGAACACTACGATCCCCAGGACACAGAAAAGGCCCTGGCACTTTGTGAAGTCCACCTAAAAAGAGAAAACCACCAACAGCTACGTTAAAACACATGAGACAAAACAATACACTGTGACATTTGATCTGATGAGCACACACAAACCCCACCTTTGTCTGGAAGCAGAAGACGGTGACGGCGATGCAGACGACGGCAGTGATCCCCAGAGCGAGGAACACTGCTTTTGTGTCATAGTAACTAAAAACAAAGAGCAACACAGTTTGTTTTGAGGGACACTGACACTGTCCATGCAAATAAACAGAAGGTTTTTTTTTGTACATGTCTTACCTGGAAATTGATCCAGTCACATAGGAGAAAGCCAGGGTCTGTGAAAAAATAACAAAGGACATCTATTGGTCGATCTAAAATTACAGCGGCATCACAATATTCTAGAAAAACTAATCCTGTTACCGATTTAAAATCGCCGATTAAAAGCTACGAAAGGGCTGCACTAGGGATGGGACAATGTATGATGTTATTAAGGATTTCATTAAAATAAAAAGGGCATCCTGTTGAATGAACATTTCAGGGATATTATTAGTTATTACATGCCTATACTAATCATACTCGATTCTGATTGGACATTTCAGAGGTTGTTAATACTTGATAACACATCACTGCTAAGCAAAATAATGATCGTTGCTATGGAGGATCAAGGGAGAGAAGGAAAGAGGTTCAAATATGTAAAGTAAGTTAACAGTAACAGGAACACGTGATGGGCTCTGGCAGCGTTTAAAGACTTGTTAGTGGAAAATAAACCGAACAGACTTGGACAGATACAGAAAACCTGGATCAGTGCTGCCGTTCATTTTAAGTAACGTTGTTGTTTCCGCTGTTCCAGCCGTTGGTGCGCCGTGGAACAGAGTGTTCTTTCTTAGCGAAAGCAATACGATCATTCTTAAGTCAATAATTCATTTTCGTTTAATATTGGGAGTCAAGCCGTACTTACTTTATATTAGTAATACGAGTATTTAGAAAAGCGGTATATAAATGTAATGTATTCAAATTATTGTGAAATACATCATGTAAGACAAACAGACTTAAAAACAATAACTTATCTCACCATATGATTTATGGTTACCTTATATCACTTATAACAGATGTGTCCTATAACGCAATTTCCTAACTAGATGTAGGTTTAAGGGATTACAGTATGTTTTATGCCAGTGCCAGAGTTGTCAGCGTACTTTGATACTTATCTGAATATGGTATTGGATACTAGTGACATGACCTTTTTAATATGGACGCATGCTGAGGCGAATAAATTGAAAAAAAGGATGGTCCCCTTAAATAATAATAAAACTTGAAATATAACTGAAACATATTATTGTATATTCTAATGTAAAAAATTATATGAAATCCAGAAACGATCCCCACAAAGCTGAACAATAGCAGTCTCTACCAACAGAATAAACTGCGCCATGACATAATACATAAAGCCATTTTGAAATATGCAAACACAGCCTGATTCATGTGTGGTGGTGACTCACTGTTTATTACCAAAGACAAGCTTCTAACTTTGAGATGAGACCAGCCTAGTATGTGTGAATTCTCTACTCTAAGAATAGACTTGAACCACATCCAGGACACTGGCAGTAAAGGCAGTAATTACAAGTTTACACTTCCTGATTCATAGGTCAATCACAAGACTCACAAAGATGCTAAGCAGAATGACATTCCATGGGCACTTCCTCCTACAAAGAGGGTGAGATAATAAGATTAAATGCAGTTTTATAAATATTCTTTGCGCAAATATTCTTCAGAAAACGTTGTCACACTCACCTGGGGCCCTTACAGCAGACCAGCACAAGGTGGGTGATGAAATACACAGCGCTAAAACGAAAAAATGCAGAGATGAAAATATAACAAATACAAACTTTCATTTTAATTCTTACAAAAGATCCAGGGTAAGACTTACTATGATGCCCAGTAGAGAGCTGGGTTTTTCTGTACGAAAGATCTGACAGGTCGGCTGTGAGAAACAGAGGCAGAGTTAGCAGCGTGACGCATAGAGACACAAATGCAAACAGAGATCAAACCACACTCTATATACTCACACAAATGTGAATAGAGCCACAATAGATGTTGTGACGAGGAGCTGAGCAGCCAAAATCAAATACACCTGAAAAACACGCAGAAAAAAGGGAAATTACACCCTGTTACACATCTTTGCTCTTAGACTCAAATTAAATGATAACACACGACCGATTTTATTATGGTTTGTGCGTTTTACCTTTCTGATGAAGGCATGACGAATGCTCATACTATCGAAGCCGCTGCCCCTCGCCGCAAACCCATCATCTGGGTCATCTGCAGAAATATGACCACAAAGACTCACAGGAAATTCAAAGTTTAAAGCCAGGACAGAGAGGACATGATGTATGTATCTTACTCCATAAAAAAATGTATTCCCTTTTGACCGCTTTGTGGGATGCACTATTCTAAAATTACAATAAAAAAATGTTGATACCAAACAAAAAAATCTATGGGCCCTCTCACATCCACAATACATGGTCCAGATAATTAAGTTTGATATTAACCAAAATTACAGGTGTAAAACCCCCCAAACATGGTCCGGGCTAC